CTAACAATTTTTTTTTAAAAAAAAAAAAAATCAAGGCATGTTGCTTCCAGCTTATATTCAGGACAATTTAGGAAACAGGAGAGGTGTAGATATAATCCAAGTACCATTTTAAGCATTATTGTAATTTGAGTATAATTTGTACGTGCAAATTGAAATAATTTCAGAAGTTGGAACTCTATAGATATTTATAGTCTTAATTTGGGAGGGGGGGAAGTGAGCAAACTGAAAAAGCCAGTGGCATTATAAGTACATGGTTTGTGGGATAAATGATACCAACTACATATCACAGCTTATCGCTTTTGCTTTTTGCTTTGAGAAACTGTTACCAAGTGAGTCATTAATAGTCTAGAAGATTTGCAACCTTGCTGGGCTCTTATTGCCTAAGAAATCTTAAGTAATAAATTGCCCAGAGAGGGAGCCTGCTTCCCTCCCACCTTTCTCTGCATATCTGCTCTTTAAGAAAAATAATAATGGAATGAACGGCTCAAATAAAAAAAGCACACATTATGTAGACGGTTCTCGGGGGGGGGGGGAAATGATACGGAGAATAAGCAGCATTGATGAAGACCCTGGGAAGCAAAGTGCTGATTTTAGAAGCTTAGTGTCAGAAACTAGGAATAAAAAGAAATTGAGTTTATCTTCCAGAGCATTATACATCTTAAGACATCTGCAAAAAATGAAGCAAAAAACTGTTTTATTATAAATTCCATCAGCCCAACTGTGACTGACAAGATGCATTTCAATGTTGTAGCAGTTCATATAACAACTATCATATTTGAAAGTTTCTTTCTTGGCAACGGGAATGTAGTTAGATCAAACCACTGAAACTGACTTTCAAGCTGGAAGCCATTTCTGCTTCTCCAGGGTTGGATTAGTCTCAGCGTATTTCAATCACAACATTATTATCTTTAGGGAATGGTGTATCATGAGGAAGTTATAGAAGCCGAACCTATTATAATATCAAATATATTACATAGAACGTTACAAAGAGTCCTTGTTTGGTGACTGTAATTGGAACTGGCAGCTTTGTGGTTAAGCGAAGGGCTTCCTAAATCATGAAAACCATGNTATATATATATATATATATATATATATATATATATATATATGGAGGATATATGTGATAGTGTCACTTATTAAATTCCACAAAGTATCTTTCAAAAAATATTTTTCTTTTCCATTTTTTTCTTTTTCTTTTGTTTTCAACTAGGACCCCTACTATGGCTGGTGGCTTATTTTCTATTGACAGAAACTACTTTGAAGAGATAGGAACATACGATGCAGGAATGGATATCTGGGGTGGAGAGAATCTTGAAATGTCTTTTAGGGTAATTTTCCATTTTATTTCCTTTTGTAATAACTAGCAGATTTTCTGTAAAAAATGTTAACGTTTTAAGATAGGGATGTTTTAATTTTGTTTATCTTAAATGAAATCTTGACTTTGTCTTGAAATTAGGAAGATAATCCAAATGGAAAGCTTCTTCAATGGAGGGCTTCATTCAACAAAATTGAATCAAGGCAAATTCACTTATTATTCAGCTTCCTTTTTCTCTGCTATTTCTGGATTTCCATTGAATAAGGAACTCTCTTACTTTCTCTTCTGCTGAGTGAAACCTTCTGTTCATGGATTGATTTGAGCTGAATTTCATCCTTCAATTTTAATGCAATGGGCTTTTTTCACACTACGTAACACATCACAGAGGGACGCAGTGGCTCAGAGGCTAAGACACTGAGCTTGTCGATCAGACAGGTCAGCGGTTTGGTGGTTTGAATCCCTAGCACTGCATAACGGAGTGAGTTCCCATTACTTGTCCCAGCTTCTGCCAACTTAGCAGTTCGAAAGCACATAAAAAATGCAAGTAGAAACAGTGTTCCGTACTCCTTCGGCATTTAGTCATGCCAGCCACATGACCATACAGATGTCTTTGGACACCGCTGGCTCTTCGGCTTTGAAATGGAGATGAGCACCGCCCCCTATAGTCGGGAACAACTAGCACATATATGCAAGGGGAACCTTTATGTAACCCATCACATGAAGCCTTGAGTATCTGAAAATTGTATGATGTAGATTAGAGGCCCATCAGTCATTATTAACTATATCTGGCTCAGTGTTGCATATGCCCATTTGTTACTTAATTTCATGAATTCTCAGCAAGTGGAACCAAATGAGGATTGACATGGAACATCCATGACCATCATCAGATTAGAGATTAAATTCCCATAACGTAGGTGTCCCATAGTATGTGTATTTCTTTCATGCTGCCTTTGAAACAGTCCCATTTTGCTTTCCTCCATTGATATATACTTGTCCTTGGAGCTCTCTGAGCTTGGTTGTTTTCTTATAGATGTTTCACTATCAAACTAGGAAACATTATCAGAATGCTATCTGCAAGAAATGTCTGCAAGAAAACAACCAAACTCAGAGAGCACCAAGGACCTCACAATTCAACCCTGAGCTACAAATATTCTCTTCTATTGATGTATACCCTTTTCTCTAAAATTTTCCCAAGAATATATATCATTTCTCATGCCAATTTCCTAAATATCTTCTGATTTTTATTTGAATGTTTTCCTAAATGTATACTAATTTTATATATGGTGCTGAGATAATTTCTTTGCTAAGAAGATTTCACTTACTGCTGTTGTGCATGCTGAAATAAAGGAAATCCTTTATGGATTACTTTCCCAACACTGGAATGAGAATCAGATTGTTGGGGAGACCTAGATTTAAGTTTTCCATCAGCCATGGAAGTTCTGTATTTGGGATTATTTTATTTATTCATTTATTAAACTTACACAGATTAGCTACTTTGTCAGTCTGATCTACCTCAACCTAATCATGAGAAAAACAGGAGAAAGGAATGCTAATGCATGTCTTGATCTCCTTGGAGGATAGGCACCCTATACATTTAACAAGCAAAAGAAACAATAAATAACATAAAATTCACATGTGCATGCATTTATTTAACTGTTCACTTGTTTTTTTTATAATTTATTCATGTGGCTTAAAAACTTTCTTGGTACTGGAAGGCAAAGCTTCAAATTATTTTTCATGTACTAATAGTAACTTCCTTAAATTGGGTTTTAGGGATAGGAATTATATTTCCAAATGACTGAGTTTGGAGCCAAACATTTCAGTCATCTATCACGTCTGACAGAAATGAAATGATGGAAATTTCTTGAGTTTCTAAGTAATCTTAAATAAATTAGAAAATTGATCTTAAAATGCGTGTAAGAGGGAATAGTGTACACTAATACATGATGGACTATAGATATTTGTGCTACAGTGTTTAAAAGACCCTTATTTTCATAATGACTCATCTGATGGAATAATCAGCTCTCAAGAATGCTGTCTATGGCTTGCACTTCTTATGATATTCTCATTCGTTTATTTTATTTTTAAAAAATGCATAGAAAACTACATATATAGGCAGAGTGCACCCATTTATATTTTTGGTGAATATAAAGTGAGGAATGCACAGGCCAATTGCTCCATTATTTTTAGACTAGAAGTCATAAAATGGATGAATGTGTGAAACTCATCACATATGGCATATCAAGGAGCTATTTTGACTCTTAGATGCAATCAACTGATTGGGGATTCTTAGGGAACTCTATTTGGTGCATTGTAATTTAAAATGATGTGATCTATTCACTCCAGATTACTATACAGATTGGAGCATAATTGTGCTATTGTTTGTGAATGTTGTGCATTTCCCTCCCTTTTTAGTAGTATCACTTTGTTAACTGGAGCACTGAGCCAAATTGATTCAAGTAAGAGATTGGAATATGCAAGTAAAAAAAATAGAGACAATTTTCATAAGGAAATATTTGAAAGACTATCCACCTATCTTGCTTTGTAGCCATCTTTTCTCCATGTTATAGGATTCTCTGTGTGACCTCGGTTACGGTCTGGATAGGAGAAACACATTTAGATTCAACCTAAGCAGATGGAGAGGCTGTTGATTCAGAAGCTTTCATATTCCAGAAGAAATTTATCTTTGATGCTAGACAAAATGTCTATGGAGAGCCTAACACTCTGGGGCTCTTCTGGATCATAGCTCCTATTGAAAGAGCAGATAGAGATCCTTTGCATAGCTTTAGCTGTGTGCTAATTTTTTTGAACAAGAGTGTTCATTGGAAGTCACTCATGCCTTTGTCACTTCAGTGTAGATGTCAGGGTTCCAACGGATGCCCTAATTAAATCTTGAGCCTCGAGCCAAGCTTCAAAAGAAATCCAGTTATTTATTAGGAGCAACATGTCAGCACGTACCCAAGGGAAGCCAGCTCTGACCCCACATAATTTAAGGCCCAATTTTGACCCTGTTTCCCCCCACTTCCTCCAGAGTATGTCATAAATCACATTTTCCAACGGAGCACTTTTGTGGGCTGTAGAGATCACGCCCCTCCAGCTGTTGCAAGTAACCTGGGATACAGCCTTGAAAAAGGTGTGCATGAAATGTGCTTTTGGTTGTGGCTGCTGTGCTTCTCCATCAGTTTCCCCCCCCCCATGTCTATGGCAACTCGAGAGCAAGCCAGGGGTGCTTTGCAAGTTGACAGTAGATTAATGAAATTTAGTTTAGACTGAGCTTCAATTGAGGACCATTTGAAAGCTGCAGAATGTAACTGCTTGCATTATGATGAACAGTGTCTTAACTATCCATGTGAGATTACTATTGTAGGAGTTGCGTTGGTTACTGATAAGCTTCTGAATACAATTCAAGGTGCTGATTATGATCTATAATGACCTTTATGGCTTTGGATCATGTTATCTACTAGGTTGCCTGCTCAGGTGTGCCTTGGCTTCTCAGAAGTGTCAATGAGCGAGGAGCTAGAGATGAGCTTTTTCTATCATGGCCCCTCCTCCTTTGCCTCTGGAATTAAAGTACTTCAGAAGATAATCAAGACTTGACTCTTCTATGTATCGTTTGGGAATAAAATAGGAATATGAATCTAGCTGTTCTTGAAATGGATTAGAGGGAGCCAAGTGTATTGGGTTTCATTTAATTTGAGCTGTTTTAAACCTAATTGCTGTATTGGGAAATTTTTAACTACTTAAGAGTTTCTACCTGAATGAGCATATAAGTAGGGGGAAATTTAAAAAAGGCAGACTTGAGAAAATGAGCGATCACAATCACCTCACCCGCAAACCTTTTTCTTCCCATGGAAGAAATGTCTTTTTCTGTGAGCAGGAGGGGTGTAGAGCGATTGCTCAGATTATCCCACAGAAGTTCTCTGAAACCCTTTCTGTTTGAGTTGTGAGCGCTCAGGAGGCATTTTGGAATACTGTGTTTCTTATCTGTAATTGGAGATTAAAGTCTTTTAATTACTGTTTGGGGGACTTGGGTTTTGAAATTTCAATGTAGGGGCACATCTTGAGAAGGAGGAGTTGCCTGGCTAGGTGAAACCTATGTAGGCCATATTTGCCCTGTGCATTAGAGGTTTCTTCTATCTTCCATAAGTATCTTTGAAACAGACATTCAAGGGAATAGTTATTTTTGTAAGCATGCTAATTACAAAACTAGCCTAACTTAATATCCACACTAAAAGAGCCTGCTTCTCTTTACACTCCCAGCATTATCCCACCCTCAAGTAACAGTTAGAGAGTTCATTCATTGCCCTGCACCACACCAAATTCTATAAGCTATGGCTGCTCTGACCTAGGCTTTTCCCAGCAGCACAAAGCCAAGTCCTCGTCTCAATAAACTCCTTTTATTTAATTTACAGTGAATTCCTCTCCAGCAAAGTCCCAGCCCACAGTCTTTCAAGATAGTTCACAATTACCGACCTTTATGAGACTTGGAGAGTTGCCAGGCTGATATATTTCAGACGCCACAATACTTGACAAGAATGCAGGA